AGGTATGCACCAATACACGTATGTACTAATTAAGGATATCATTTTCACATCTTTGCAAAATGGGTAATGACATTTTTGGTTTGATTCTTTTCGTTTAAATAATAAAAACAGTATATGTAAGACGTTATTTTTCTTCTGAGTTTCATGTCATGAGTTCATGATAGCATTGATGTTGTATATATGGCTAGAGGAAGAGTACAAATTTTCCCCCATTAATCTCGGGAAATTGATGTTGATTCTAATTGAAACATTTGCAGGGCTAATAGTATTACTGACTCTAAACAAGCATATACAAAGACAGGTATTACAAGTTTGAATCTGAAAATATGAAGTTTCATATCTTTACCCTTTTTATAAGATGCATAGCCTTTATACTGTTTCCTAAACATCCATAGTTGACGTAAATGATGCGGAGAAAGGAGCTGCTTCCACAGAGAAGGCAAAATTTGGGACTGCTCTTTTCCTTATTGATCTCGAGAAGAGAAGAGCTATCAAGGTCTGTTCTTAAATTACTAATCTTATTAAATATTATTATCCGTTCAGTGTTAACTTCTGGCGTAAAAAGTTATCATGGACACTAGAACTACAACATGTTCCGATTGAGTACCTGAACACATGATAAAGTATCCCGTTAGACGTAGACACTTCCAACTCAAATTTTGTCAATCCAGTGTAGTGGAAAATGTTCAAGGGAAAAGCGCTTTCCTTGTTTGTTCATAATCGTGTGTTTGGTTGCAGATATTTGGCAAGAGCGCTATCATTGGTTTGGCTTTAACATTCTTTGCTGGAGTTTGTTTTTCTCTCTTCTCTCCAGCTTTCAACCTTGCCACAAATGATCAGTGGCATACGCTAAAAGATGGAGTCCCACACTTGAGCGTCTACACAGCATTCTTCTACTTCTCAGTTTCTTGCTTTGTCGTTGCCTTGATTCTTAACCTCATATTCTTATACCGTCCTGTTTTAAATGCACCCAAGTCATCCCTAAAGGCTTATATTAACGACTGGAACGGTAGAGGTTGGGCACTTTTGGCAGGACTTTTGTGTGGTTTTGGAAACGGTCTACAATTCATGGGAGGTCAAGCAGCTGGATACGCAGCTGCAGATGCTGTTCAGGTTAGTCATTTATATTATCATATTAATCAATCCTCTGTATCTATTCCGCGATAAAATTGAAAATGAAAATCAGACATAAACTATAGACCTCGAACATGCTACTCTTGTCTGTCTACGAGAAGTTTGAAATGTGTACTGCAATTCCAGGCGCTGCCTCTGGTGAGCACATTTTGGGGGGTAATTTTGTTCGGAGAGTATCGAAGATCGTCTAGAAAAACATATACGCTACTAGTTGGTATGCTGTTCATGTTTGTTGCAGCTGTTGGAATACTTATGGCATCATCAGGGCATCGAAAATAGTGTTTTCGAGACAGTTAGAACTCCATAAATTATAATGTTATTTGTATATATTGTGAAAATTAGAAAAATGGTGCTATTGTATATGATACATTGCTGTTTCTTGTTGAATAGGAACACAATTTAATTAAAAATTCTGCTGGAGAATTCTCACTGTATATAGGCAACCATTGTAAGCATTTAGGGACTTTTTGTATGGATAATGAATCATATCTTTCAACTTCCTTGTATTTTATTTATATTTATGCGATTCTTGAATTTTACTGCAGTAGAAGGGGAAATTTTAGTGATTTCAATAAATTTTTAATTAAGGATTAAATTGCATATTTATATTAAATTGAAGGATAATTATGCTCAATCTAATTACACAAGAAACAAAGCTGAAATTAGAGAAACATAAACAAGTTGACCTGACGCCTATCTGATATACCCCTCAACTTTGTCATTTGGAGCTGATATATCCCTTGTTATAAAAGTGGCTCATATATGCCCTTACTGTTATACAAACGGCTCATATATATCCCTGAAAATAGCTCACATATACCCTTCATTTAACGGAAGTTAAAAAATTAGTTTTAAATTTACATTTATTACATCTAAATTTTTTTTTAAAAAAAATTATTTAGGAATATATATGATTCTTCTATCAAAGTTAAAAGTATATTTTAATTTTTTTCATACATAAATTATTTTTTGACTTCTTTTATTATAATTATTTGTGTTTCTTATTTTATTTTTTTCTTTCATTTCTTAGTTTAAATAGAGAGAAAAATTAAACTATTTTTTTTGTGTGTATTGTAATTTAATTTCGAATTCAAAGAAAAAATTTGGTCATTTACAATAAGTTTTACAAAAATATTAGTGAAATATAAATTAATTTGATTATCAAAATAATAATTATAAATTAGTCATTGAAACAAAAAAAGTTAAAAAAAATATGTTTGATGAGAATTAAATTTACTTATATGGGATTATATTTTTTAAAAAAAAATAATTAAATTTTAGATTAAATTTTTTTTTTCATTTCCGTTAGAGGAAAGGGGTATATGTGAGTCATTTGTTTAGAAGTAGGGGTATATATGAGTCACTTTCATAACAAGAGGTATATCAACTATAAATGGCAAATTTGAGGGGTATATCAGACCATTGAAGTTATTTTGAATTTTCAAAACGACACTTTAACTTTGCGAGTGTCCTATTACTCACAAAACTATCTAAATCTACAATAAATATACCATTTTGACTAATTTTAACACCATTCGTATTGTCACAGCATATGGGCACGTGAAGACTGTTGATACAGCTTCATACCAATGTAAATTTACCATTTGGCACTTTCAATTTGCCTTATTAAAAAAAACTATAAAAACTCATGTATTAATTTGTTTTTTTAAAACTTTATTAAGAATAGTTTTAATTATTCAAATTATTTTTCTCATCTTCCCTACCATCATTAGTTTACTCGTATTTCTTGAGCATCCATGGCTTCCTTCAAACCTCTCAATCTTTTTTTTTTTGAAGGGAAAGATTATTTTTTCTTTTTCTCTTTTTCCTTTTTGACGTTTTATTTTTAAACTAAAGTTATTCAGTTTTATTTTTTTAAAAAATAAATTAATTTAGTGATTTTTTTCTCTTACAAATCAAGATTGGAATCTGAGAGTAGTTAAACATTGAAAAATTCAATTTGGAAGTAAGAGTTGGAGAAGGTGAGATTTGATGTCAGATTTTGACTTGATAATATTTGAGTATTTGGATTTTTATTACTTGACGATATTTATTTTCATAAATAAATTAATTGATAGTAATTTGACTAAAAATTAACAGTGCTGCTACGAAATCTGCTCAGCCACAATGAATTTGATGTTACTGCAGCACAAAGAGAATGGAAAAGAACAACTCAGTTGAGATGAAGAAGAAAGAGAAAAAGAAAGAACAGAGTTGAGGTGAAGAAGAAAGAGAAAAAAAAAGATAGAAAAATAAAAGAAATACAAAAAATTAGATAACAATAATTAAAAATTATTTTAACACGTGACAAGTGATTATCAGTGCGTGACATACAAATATTTTTGTATAAGTGGTATTGAGTAAAAAATGGGGTATACATTCTATTTTGAAATTGTTTAATTGGGTGATATGACTCTCGCAAAGTTAAGATGTCTTTTTAAAAATTCAAAACAACTTTGATGGTGATTTTATGTCTCTTATTTTTTCACTCAATTTTTGGACCATTTTTTCTTATTTAAATTAATTATTATATTATAAAAGTAATTTACTGAATTTATTACAAATAAATATTTCATTAATGGAGGTACATTATAATAAAAAACTCTTCACCCGCCTAAAAACCTACTCCCTCTGTTCTTATTTAGTTGTTCATATTTTCTCTTTTAGTTGTTCCTACTTATTTGTCAATTTCGACAAATTAAGAAATGACAATTTTTTTTCCTATTATATCCTCATTTAAACTTTTTGAAAAATTTTCAAGTTTTAATTCATCATTTTTGAAATCATAATTAATAAGGGTAAAATTATAATTTCACTATGTTAATTATTGCTATCTTAATATGTGTGTCATTTCTAAAGTGGACAACTAAATAAGAACATAGGTAGTATTTATTTTCTAATTAATTGTTAGTTATTAAAATAATATTATGATACGCTCTTTAAAGACACCAAACATTATTTTAACTTCTTCCATAGTATAATGAAAACCAATAGGATGGTTGCAAATCAGCTTATCCGTAAAAAGGAATACTATTAAAATTAATATTTCTATTAATTATTAAATAAATATAAAAGATTTAACAATTCTATAAATTAATTGATAAGTTTATGAGTTCTTCAAATCTCCTACCTCACATGAAGGAGAGAGAAGATGGAGGGTAGATAAGTGCTGAGAAAATAGGCAAACTATTTTTATTGGAATGGTGTTGTAAAAATATTTAATATGTAATTTTTATTTTATAACTATATTAGCTATACTTTTAATTTTTGATATATTATATTGAAATTTTTGCAAGGATAGTATTAATTCTTTGATTATTTTACCTTCATCAAACATCAAATACTTTAAATATTCTTACAAATTTAAATATTGCAATTTTCAACTTAAATTAATGTTATGAATAGCCTTAAATTTGACAAATAATTTATAATTATGATATTGCTCAGGATAAAATTTAATGTTTCCTAAATATAATTAAATGTTATTTATCCTAAATTTAAAATTTAAAATTTTATTTCTTATAAAATTATTAATTGTCCATTAATAATTTGCTTAGAAATGAAAGATAGTGAGATGTTTTGATCTCTCTCAAAAGATGATACTAATTATTATAATATTATTTTATATCTCTTATTTTTTAATTCAAAATCAAAAGAATAAAAAATATTTCAAAAAAACAGTAAAAAGTTAAAGGAAAGTTTAAATTTTTGATTTTTTTTAAAAAAGCTGATAGCATTTGCAATTATAATTTTTTATTTTTAGATTTTAAGTTAGTTTAATAATTTATTTTTTTGTTGACACATAGCCATTTTTTCTTCTCCTTTTATATATAGCTAGAATTGGAAAAGAGGTAAATATATATTTCAGTTTTATGATTTAGAATTGATATATCCTTATTGAGATTTAAAATCGATTATATTCTTATTAAAAAGGTCCTATATATATTCTTGCCTTCTAAAAAATTTTGCATATATATTTTCATCGTTTGACAAATAGTATAACTTTCTTTTTTCCGTTAATAGATTAAATTAATTTTATTTTTGTAAAACTAGCTAATTTTTAAATTCCAAAAATATCACACGACTTAAAAATGTTACCTCATCCATTTTTACTCAACTTAATCCGTCCCAATTGAAAAGAAACAACAATTTTTTCAAACTTACAGGACCAAGTAAAAATTTATTTTTCTTTTGTATAACTTAAATAAATCTTAAATCTCATAGTGTAAAGATCTAAATACATGCACCTTCGAATGATTGTTTTAAGCCAATGCACCCTAATTCACTGTTTTTATTATAATTTTTGGATTCAAAGAGCTTATTAGATCCAAATTGTAAGATAGGAAATTTGAAGAACTCATGACTATTCCATATAACAAATGCTAAGAAAATGAAAGAAAGACTTAGAAAGAACAAGAGAGCTTTCAAGAAAGTTTTTGTATTAAGTTTGGAAGATTTGCTCTTTGTTGAATTGTTTGTTTCAAGCTTGGATGATTTGTGTCCATCTATTTATACTACAATCTAGGATCTAAAGTGTAAATAATATTTATTTTATAAGTTCTCCTAGTAATTACACTTTAGTCCCTCTCTAAACTTTCTACATGTTATACGATATTCCAAAGCTCTCTAAGATATTTTCTAAGTTATGCTATGGCCTTTCAAGGAAAGACCTACAGAATTCTAGAGTCTTCTTGGAATATCTAGGGACTTTTAGAGTTTTCTATAAACTTATTCCGTCTCTATAACTCTAGACTCTTTCGCCCCTATCCTAATAATACTGATACACTGACACTTGTCAAATTCAAAATTCGCATTTAATAGTTTAGATAGTATATAGAACTCGAATAAAAGGATATTTATAAAATCAATTGAATATCCATGTCTTAAAGCACGTGTAATCACGTGAGTATGATGTTAGTTAAGTTGGTTATTCAAGAATAATTAGTGTGATGACACCAAAGCCCACTCTTTGCCCTCCCAATTTTTTCTTATCATTTCCTCCAAAAAAAACAACAACTAATTCTTCTTAATCTTTTCGATTCTTCCATAAATGATAAAATTTATGAACCCTAAAAAAAAATTTAGAAGTTGAAGAAGGATCAAGAAAGAACAATAGAATCCAAGATTTCACTAATTACTAGGTAAAATGTTTTAATTCAGATAAAAATACTTAGTTTCTTACTTATTGGTAAATATTTTGTTGTTGTTTGGGGGGTTAATATTAGATTCTTGATTCACTAATTAGGTTAAATGTTTTGATTCAGATAAATCCCACCAAAAATTTTCATTTTCTTGCTTTTTTTTTTAATCATTAGGGTTCCATTTTTCTTGGTTTAATCTTGAATAGTTTCATTTATTAGGTAAGATATTTTAATTTAAGATAAATATCAAGATCAACATGTATTTTTTTAATTGATAATTAGTGTCTGCTTTTGAGATAATGGTCTATCAGGAATAACTTTTCTAACCCCATAAAAGGATAAGCCCTGAGTACATTCTATATCCCAGAGTTCATTTCTGGATTTCACGGGGTATGTTGTTTTTTTTGTTGTTGGTCAGTAGCGTTTACCTAAATCTTTGATTTTTGAACTTAATTTAGTTTACATTAATCTTGTTGATAACATGTGATTTCTAATTTACTTAATTTTTTCCCCATTTTAGAGAAGCTTTTTGTTGGGAGGTTTATAGATTCAGCTTGGGGGAAATGGTTGGAAGGAATAGTCGAGACCGCCCCGGCAATATATAAGGAGGGTATTCACAACAAACTCTTGCTAGTATTAGGTAATGACTCTGTATTACTGGATTCGCGTATTATCTTATTCTTCAATTTTTGCGATTGCATATTGCTTCTTTGCTTTGTTCATGTTGCTATTTACTATCGTTATTATTATCTTACGTTCCTGCTTTGGTTGAACTCCTTTGAGTCGAGGGTCTATGGAAAACAACCTCTTTAGGTCTAGGTCTTAACGTACATCGATCTTACCCTCCTTGGACCTTTGCTGTTGTTAATGACTCTGTATTACTAATAAATTTCATTTCTTAAATAGCTTCTTCTTTTGTTAGACATTTGATAACATTGCAAGAAAATATGATACATGGTGGAATTAATATGGACTTATCTAAGATTAGGACATGATGGAAGCAAAAGATCCATCTAGGAGATATTAATTAGTTGGATTGAGTGCTAATTGTTGTTGTTTCACTTACATTTAGTCCAGTTTTGTTTGTTTGATTAAAGACTTTTATGTAAGTGTAGGATTTAGTTAACCTCTAGTTCAATAGCATCAAAACATACATAAAAGTTTCGGATATAAGTAATAGAAAACGATAACATATTAGTAATATATAGTGGAAAAAAAACCCAGCTCCGGGGCATGAAGCATCTCTCTTTCATACAAGGTCCAGGGAAGGGTCGCACTCAGGGGTTTATGCAATGTAGGAAACCTACTCTGCCCGAAGCATTAGTTATTGATTCCACGGCTCAAACCTGTAATCTATATATAGGTCATACAGAGACAACTTTAGTGTTGCTCCAGTGCTCCCCTTCGTAACACATTAACATTTCTAACCTGTTTTTTTTGTTAGACAGCAATCCAGTCTAAGAGGCCGAATATACGTCTATACTTTATCCCATGGGTCTTTCTTAACAAAGTTCACTTTCAAGTGCATTCTGTTATGTTTGATTGAAAAGTCCTGGATCAAAATTTTCGTTTTTATTGTTTTATGGCCATCAACATTTGACCTAAATCTTAGATCTTCGGGTAAATTCACATTCATGATTCTTGTTGCTCATTTGTAGGAAATAATGACATTTAAGCGGTATTAGCATTAGGTAATGATTCTATTTTATAGATTGTTGTATGGAGATGATATCCATTTCGTAAGTGACTTCTGTTCGTTAGACTTTTTGTAGTAAAATTAAAAACTTGATTGAATAAGTAGACAGTTGTACAATAAGTCTACAAGCCTTGGAGGTTAAATTTGTTGAGTTTGAATCCTAGATCTGCCTCTGTTTCCATGTGCATTCTACTTTCAACTGACGTAGGAGAAGGCAACCATCGAGAGTCAGGAGGTACTTCTTTGCAGGATATGTTGCTCGTTCTGACTTGTGAGTGTTGCATTGCTTCCTCAAACAATAACGTAATCTCATCCAGTGGTGTAGCCACATGTAGTGAAGGGTGGCCAGTCAAACACTCTCGTCGAAAAATTTTACTGTATAGAAAATTTCATGAAGTATATAGGCCAATTTTTTTTAATATTAAATCTATGACACCCTTAACGAAATTTCTGGCTTTGCCACTAATCTCATCTCTAATATTTTTCTTATATTTACATTGACTGGACATTGATTTATGCATCTCAACAAGTTGATGGTTTCTACAGGTGATTTTTAGCTTTAATCCAGTCATGAGCCCTAAATATGGAAGTGGAAACCGTAATCATTCTCGAACAGATGCAGTGGTAACCAAAAGTGAAACTGAGTCCAATTCACCAGTAGCCTCTCTCCGGGATTCTAACCAGGAGAGTAAAAGTAGAAAAAGTTCGGATTCTATCTTAAATGATAGTGTTTCAGGGTCAAGTAAAAGTTCAGAACTTTCCTATTCCACGTTTTCATCCTCGTCCGGTTATTCCTCTGATGATTTCATACTAATGAATCCAAAAATAGCATCCAACTCTATTTCATCAAATGTAACATCCAAACCTTTATCTCGAGTGGACTACAATCATTTGAAACTGAATACATCAACAAGCTCCACCTCACAGGTTTCAGACGTCACTGATGAATCGTTATTGCCAACCGTGTCAATTACAAGATCTCCTTTTATCCAAGTGATGGACAGACAAGGAGGTTATGATCCCAACAGAGTTCCCTCTTCCATTTTCGAAAGTAAATCCTCAACACCTAACGAATGGAGTGCTGTCTCTGAAGAGTCATTATTTAGTATCAACGTCAGTCTTTCGAGGAAGTCAGCAGAACTACGCATGTGTGTGGAATCGGAAACATGTGAAGAAATTAGTAAGTCTGGGAAGCTAATCAGTAGACACTCATCGCCTGTAAAAGGAGGAGAACGTACGGAAAAGAGTTCTGTATTTGATACAGAAAGGGGCGTGATTGATCGAAGCAACCTTATTGAAGCAGGAAATCAACATAAATCAATTAAGAAACAATCACATTTTGAAGAGGAAATAAAGTTAAGAGGGAACAGAGATTATTCATCTGCCATTAGCCATTCCGAAGGGAACGGAGGGTTTAAAGACTCCTATAACCATTGCAATGGTAATGATACGTCTTTACCTTTTCCAACGTAAGTAACCAGTTCCTATCTTATTTGCTAATATCATCTGCATTTAGCATATGTACACGTTCTTCTCTTTTCTTTTCCATGTCACTGGTAACATGTTGCTTCATTAATAATTACGGGGAAGTGCATTAGAGTTCATCTAACGTGTCATTCGTATAAATGTGTTTGAGTCTCATGTCCTCAACTTAAATGCTTTACATTAAAGATTATTGGTGATATGATTTCTTCCCAGAATGGAGCTTGCAATCATGCATTTTCGTGTTCACGGAATATATTTTTGTTTATTGCAGAGATAGGAAGTCCACCGAACCTCTTTTCTATCCTGCTTATTACAAAAAAAAGAAGTCCAGATGGTCGTCATGCTTCTCTTCCTGTTTTAGCTGCGGACCGTGTTGCTCTGGATGTCCAAGCTGTTCCTGTAAGTGCTCAAGTTGCTTCTCTTGTAAATGGCCAAGCTTGAAATGTTGTTCTTGTAAGTGGCCAACCTGGAAGTGTTGTTCTTGTAAGTGGCCAAGCTGGAAATGTTGTTCTTGTAAGTGGCCAAGCTGGAAATGTTGTTCTTGTAAGTGGTCAAGTTGGACATGTTGTTCTTGTAAGTGGTTAAGTTGCTCTTGTTATTGCCGTAAGTGGTCGAGAAAACAGAGTTGCTGCTGTAAATGATCAAGCTACTACTTTTATTGTCCAACCTAGCCTAGTGACGGAGTCAGAATTTTTGTTAAGGGGGTTCATCGTCTATATATACATAAAAAAAGATTTTGACCTTGTATATACGGTGTGATTTTTTCGGCCAAAGGGGTTCATTCTGTGGCCAGAATGCACTTAAAGTGTTCAATGTCACCAACAAGCTGCTGCGAGACATGTCAAACCTGACCTAGTTGCTGCTGTAGCTCCTCATTTTAGCAAAGCTGAGAGTGCCAGTGTTTCTGAGCATTTGGCTGCTGCTGGTGTCAATGTAAATGGAAAGAACATACTTATTGTTATTCAAAATCTTATTCTGACTGTATTCATCTCCTAGAATCATGAGAGGGATAGAAGCGAACGATGATTGTTGGTTCATGCACTGACAGAGTCAGGATTTTCACTAAGGGGATTCAACATATAAAAAGGTAGACACACGAAGAAGTGAAGGGAATTCAAATGAGTATGTATAGTAAAAAATAGTTTTGACCTTGTATATACAATGTAATGTTTGTGGTATAAATGATTCGAATAAACTCCTTGCGCCCCTCTATCCTTCACTTGCTAATTTTGTATATTATTGAATAAGTTTCTCTTCTCAAACATATATAAACCATTCATGTTGAAAACTTTCTCTATCATTCAACATACTAAGAAGACATAATACATACATGTGTCCTTTAGTTTGATCTCATCTGACATATATATCCTCTAACTTCAAGTGTACACATATATGTATTTTTGAACAGAATTGAACACGTTAACACATACATCATACTTGACATTCTATGTGGCAATTAACGTCCTACGTGTATTATGCTACACAAAACAAGTGTGTGTACTTGTTCAACTTCATACAATCTTAAGCACACCAAAAGTTGAAGAGCATAGAAGCAATAAAAGATCATCATCACAGTCTAATTCCTCCTCCGTGTTTTTCTAACTCAACAAGTTAACACGGGTATGACACCCAAAGTGAAAAATTCTAGCTACTTAGCTTGACAACTTCTGCATAAACTCCTCATCAGCTGCACTGACCTGAAATTATATACAATGATTATTCATAAAAAAAAAGATCTATATTATAGAATAAGAAAACAAAAAGGAAATATAAATAATAATATAATATTAAGAAGAAAGAAAAAAAAATTCTTTTTTTAGATAGTAAAATAGAGAATTGGGTTGAAATTGGTTGTCTGGAAAAATAGAAAATTCTATATTTGGAGAGTAAAATAGAGTGTAGGATTGGGTTGCCCTAAGTAATAACAAACTTCTCTTTGAACTCTAATAGAAATCGAGGCAAATCTAGGATTTGAATTTATATTATGAAAATAAATTTTAAGCCCCTACAATTACATGTACTTTGGGTGAACATCCTCCAGGCAGGTGAGCAAAATATTTCACCTATGAATATCCAAAATATTAAGTAAGCCCATCAAGAAATGAGATCAACATCTATTTATAGAGAGAATAATTTTAATCATTATATATTATGTTCCTTGTTTTTTAATTGTCATATTATTTTTTTTAGAATCAATTTAATTAATTTTTAATATAAATTTGATTACATTAATTTGATATTTTAACAACTTATTATTAGTTTTTCTTTTTGATTTTGAAATCTCAAAATATTCTTAAATTATTTATATTTTGTTAAGTTCATACTTAAATTATGGAATATTGTTATATGTTACAAATTATTATGAGGTATTTTATTTATTGGTTACAAATAATCATGGGCTATTGCTGTTACCTTTACACAGCCAAAGACCTAGTTGTGGAGTTAAGAATTTGATAAAAGATATGAAAATTATGTTATGAATGTGCTAATTAAATATATATTCACAAGAGCTAACAATGATCTTGAACATCACATAATTCTTTGGTAAATGGTGTAAGATGATGACTCTGTTTATGTTGTGCTTCAATGTGGGTATCGGACATCATGAAAAAAAAAAAAACTAAACACACATGTAGCACTTGACAGTTCGCTCATTTTCTTGTACTATTTGCTCACGATCTTGCTATACCAAATTAATGTAAGATACTATAAATCGCTAAGAAAATGCTAGAGAGAAAACGAGAGAGTTGGAGGGATTAATTGTATGGTAGAAAACTTAGATTAATTTTCTATGGGGAACTTTCGCAAATAGCAACTATCATAAATTTCATTATGCTCTATAACTATAATTTGTATATTTACGAGCTATAACTATTATTTGTTTATGCAAATGGTAAGAATCATCCTCCAACTGCCACTTATTTCGACAAATCATTGTTGAAAGATGTCATGTTCAATCAAGTATATGTATTGTAGAACAGAGTTCTCTGTTCCAAATAGTTTACTTGCACTAAAAGAAAGCCAATTTTTGACACTTTTTTCAATTTCAGGACTTTGAATTGACATCAGTATTAATAAGGCCAATCCCTTTTGTGCACCATTGACAGATAAACTTTCCCTATCTGGAACAAGTTATGGTTCTATTCCGAGGAGAGGAACAGACAGAATTTTTAATAAAGGGTTCAAAATTTGTAGAAATAAATAGTCGAATAGGGTTCGATATCAACTATATATACATATAAACTTATTTTAATCATATATAAATAATATAATTTTCCTGATGAACCCCTTCATACAAGATAGCTCCACCCCTGATCCCGAGATTCTACGTAAAAACCATAGAAGATTCCAATGTCCCTTCAGGAGGCGATGATAGATTCAAATCAACCTGAACAAGTTTTCCAGGTAAAAGGGTTTGATCATTCACCATTTCTGTCGAAACCTCAAGCACTACAAAATATTTTGCTGGAAATTTCAAAAGTTCATGTAAAATGAACTCTAAGAAATTATTTAAAATTAACCTCCAACACAAATAACATTTTTTCAAGAGTCTTTCATTCATATATACATATTAGGTGTACGACAGGGTTGTTTTAGATTTTTCAAATATCAAATCAAACTATTTATATAAAAATTTTAAATTTATACACCAAACTAAACTAATAAATTTTGATCTTTTCGAGTTTTTTAACCTCGAGTTGGTTTGAATTTTTCAAAACCAACCCATTATGTTAAATTTTTAAATCAAACCAAATTACAAACCTTGAATTTTTTCAGTTTTTTGAATTTTTTCGATAAAGTTTGCATAAAAACATATAATCGACTTGTGCTTCAAATATTTCTTTAGTCCAATCAAAATATAATTATCTAAGGTATTTCTTTAAAAAATAACACAAAATATGAGATGAGTATTGATGATACAAAAGTATTCAATTAAAGATAATAATAAAATCATCATTTAAAATAAATATTGTAAAGTCATAATGAAAATGGCCATAATTTAATAGAATTAAATCATGCTAAAATAAGTCTAATAAGTATTAGTTAGATTACTAAATATTTAAGAAAAATTAAAATTAGATTATGCATTTTAAGTTATCTAAAACAATGTAAAACTAAAGACAAATATTCAATATGATTGTCAGTCTTAGTGTTGAATTGATTTTCTTTTGCATTATTATTAATTTGATTTTGATTTAAGTTTTATTATAATTATCAACGTCTATGAACTATAATTTTTATTGGACCATTCCAAATTCTAAGTTTTAAACTTGAAATAATAAATTAAAAGATAAAACTATGAAATAGTATAAAAAATATTTTAAAATTATATCAAAGTAAATATTTTTATGTATAAATAAATTTTAAAATAACATGTATAATGTCGTGTTGGTTTGGCCTAGGTTGATTTTTTCTGTTAAAACCAAATCAACCTGAATATAGTTGGCTTTTTTTTTTCAATACCAAACCGCTAGTCAGGGTTTTTTTGGGTTGACTCGATTTGCAATTTGGCTGGATTTTTTATTCGGTTTTATTGTCACGACCCAAAAATGGGCGTGATGGCACTCGTCTTATCCCACTAAGACAAGTCAACCTAAACTCAATCATTACAATAAAGTGCGGAAATAAAATATAAGTAACTTAATAAAACCCCCAAAACCTGGTAGTCACGTGTACAAGCCTCTAAAGTATTACAATTGATTCAAAAGAAAAAACTCAAGTCTCTAATGAACTTGTTTCTAGAATAGAACAAGATCATAATTAAGGAGAAGAAAGTCTGCTGCGATGGAAATAACTACCTGACAAATTTCCAAGAAGCCTCAGAAAAGAAGAGAATGACAAGTACAACAAAATTCTAGGCTCATAACCTACAAAAAAAATTTGTAGAAGCAAAGGGTGAGTATCAAACCACACGGTACTCAGTAAGTAAACCTCTAAACACAAGCTAAGGATATGAAATATGGGTACTCCTACCACCCCCAACCGAACCTCCACAACTACAACCTGCATTAAAATCAACCCAATCTAACAGCTCACGGTTTACATAACATGTAGCTCAACAACAACACTTAGACAAATTACATATCCTCAACAACAACACTTTAACAAATTACGTATCCACAATAACAAGCCCAATATTGATCGATCACAAGTTCAACAGAAAGGCAATCAGAAGATCAGCAAAACACGATATCCAGTTCACTAATGATAAGTATGTGCAATGTCATGGAATGCAATGTCAAGTATAGTGATGCATGTCTGGCCTAGTGATACACACCCGCTGTCTCTCAGTCCGGGACCCATGGGGGACATATCTGTCCATGCATCTGTCGCGGCGCACGGCACGATCCTCGATAATAGTAACCATCGCAGCGCACGGTACGTCCCTCGAAATATAGTATCCATCGCGGCGCGGTACGTCTCTCGAAATATAGTATCCATCGCGGCGCGCGATACGTCCCTCGAAATATAGTATCCATCGCGGCGCGCGATACGTCCCTCGAAATGGTACAACCTCTTAAGTACTCATTCTTTCTCAATGCACAAACACTTGTCATAACCAAGGCCTCAGAATAATGCAGATGAAAAGTTCACACAAATAATGAGGAGATGACCATTTTCATAACATGGCACAGTTCACAACCACACAAACATGAAGTCACATCAACAATGATTCAACAAGCCTTCAACCATTTTTCAATGCATCACACATAAACAATTAATCACATTGCCTTTTGTTATCCCTTTTTTCATCATTAGAATTAATCAATGTGGACAATCAACCCATCATCAATCCCGTTACTCCCAAACATATACCACAAGGAAATATACGCATTTCATACACTTAACACAATGACTCCAAAACTTGAGTCTTCCTCTTTTCGTTGACTTCCAAACCAATAAAATCTATTCAAATAAATAACCACGATATGATTTCGAAACTAACAACATTCATATTGTTATATCTCTAACTTAGACCCAAAACTCATCCGAATTTATAATAAAATTTCTAAATCTTTATTCCAACCAATTGATCAAATCTCATATTTTCTGAATTTCAAGTTTAGGGTAAAATCTTAATTCTCTGAATAACATAATTATAATGATTTTTTTATATATCATAATGCACCCACTATTTAACACATATCTCAATATATCAAAACTTGAATACTAATATGATAATTAAATGAAAATAATTAAAGCCGAAACTAACTGCCCAGCACATCAATGGCGGACTACAAAACTATCCGCTGAAACCACTTATTTTCAATGTTCCAAAAATATTTATCGTTCCACTATTAATAATCCTAATCTTGGAGTAATCATTGTCCAATGATTGAACCATAATACTTATACACATTTATAATCCCAAGTTCACAAGTTCACATATTAGTATAAATTAAACACGTTTTAACCTAAATATTTATTCCTGGTTACACAAAAATTTAATAGAAAGGATAAGAATAGTTACCTTGATACCTTGAGATGAAAATATCGTTGTTTCTCCTCCTTTTTCCTTTTCTTTTCTCTCTTTCTTTTCTTTTTTTATCTGCGTATTATTTTTTTTCCAGATCGTTCCTTTTTTTTTTAAGGTGTGTGCGGCTTTCAACATTTAGGGCACTTTGCCCTTTTTTATTTATTTATTTTATTATATTTATTTATTTGATTTTCTTTTTTCTATTTTTTTCATTATTCTTAGCAACAAAATAATCCTTTATTAAATATAAAAATTATGTCACTCATTCTTATAAGTCATATAAATTATTTACAAAATCTACTAAAAAGATTAATATAATAATGCTGGTTAAAATTTCTAAAACGACTAAGAGGATCATTATATTTATACACCCATAATACATATAATCAATCATTAGTCATTACAAGGAGGCTATCGGTGCGTTTAAGCATAGGACATGAGGTGTTTACTTATTTAATTTTATAAAAAATTAAATATTTATTTATATAGATAGAGTTAAAGGATATAGATACTAGCTGAAATCATATTAAAAGACATATTTATACATTTTACTAAAATTCTACTAGTAATTACATTCATGACAACAAATTGTTTCTCAAACATTTGCTCTTTTATTGGTGATTCACCGGTCACTAGAGAGTGATTACACTATCAAAGGTGGTTTATTTATTTATTTTTTAAAATTATCATTATAGTATGGCTTTCAATTTTGAAAATATGATTTGATGCTGATTTCTATTCTCTAGACTTTTGGATTGTTCAATTTGTATGGTTTCAATGACGGGAAATTTTTTAGTCACATCTAATAATGCATGGAATCACGACAAATATTCGTTTCATTCATTTTTTTATATATCACAATTTGACTTTACTTATCTACTAAAAGAACAATTATTGATATAAGCATTCACCATATTACCCTATTAATAAATGTTTAGAATTGAATTTTGAAAAATGATATGAAGAATAATATTTAATGTTAAGAATAAAACATGAAAAAAATTAATTGTTTTTCTTGATATGCTAAAAGTGATAACTAAAAATAAAAATTTATTTTAAAAATAAATAACTCGTAGAAACGAACTGATGAAGTCTATAATAGTTCCATAAATCAAGAATCGTAATGGTAACCAAAAATTTCTTTTTAAAATTGAGCGAATAGAAGAAAGATTTTTATCAAATTCTCATAAATAAGATGAAAAATAACTATGTACATACATTTCAACGTAACCATCGTGAATTATCCTAGAAAGAATGAACAAGACCAACGAGAGGGGGAAAAGAACTTGCAAATAACAGTCAGAATATGACTTTATCACAAATTATTTGTGTCCTTATCATCCTTATTTTAATTGGAAAAGAATTAATAATATCTTTAAATTACGTGAAATTAAATAAAAATATTCTTCATTGATAAGGTTAAGAATATATTTTAAAGAACATTTTTTAGTATTTTCTTTTCCTAATAAAAATAAGATTTATTAAAAGATTTTAAATCTAGCTAGCTAGTAAAGTAGTTAGATGCTTTTTTTCTTTCTTTTTAATTCCATTTTATCAATTAAAATAAATAGATCGTGCACTTTTTAAACTAATAATACAAGCAATACATACAAGATTACAATAACCCATCATTATTTTTATTTAAATAATGATAAAAGAATCTAATAATATAAAAAAATATTTTCAAAACTTAGAACCAGGATAAAAATTTGCTAATACAATTCTTGATTTTACTTTTAAAATGAAAAAGGGTCAACAACAACTTTATCAACATATTTTAAAGAATTGTAATGTGAAGCAATTCAATAAATTCTGTATTTTATATTTGTGAAGTTCCTTGATCTTAACCATGTGAGAACCTTCAAGGTAATGAGAGAAGAGAACAGAACGAAATAAAATGTTTGAGTATTATTCAGCTACCCATCAAGTGATCTGTACATATTGTATTTATACAGTTTAGTAACAAACTCTAACTAATTTTCTAACAGTATAACTAACTGAAAATACTAACATAATACAATTAGCTAAAAATACTAATTAATGAAAATATCTTTTATTTAACATCCTCCCTCAAACTGATGATTTGAATACATCCTTCAAACTCAGTTTGGTCATTAAGTGTTCATGTTGTTGCCTGTCAAGACTCTTGGTTAATAGATCAGCCTGCTGCTCCTTGGTGGAAACATAATGAGTCCTGATAATACCTTATATAATTTTGTCTCTCACAAAATGACAATCAATGTCAATGTGCTTAGTTCTTTCATGAAAGATGAGATTTCCTGCAATCTGAATAGCAGCTTTGCTGTCACAATAAAGGTATATGGGAACCTCAATACTTATTCTCAACTCTTTATACAAACCAATCAACCAAGTCACCTCGGCCACCACAGAGGCCATACTTCTAAACTCTGCTTCAGCAGAGCTTCTAGCTACCATTTTTTGTTTCTTTGACTTCCAGGACACTACAGTATTGCCAAACTTTACTAAGTACCCTGTGACTGACCTTCTAGTCTGCAAGCAACCACCCCAGTCAGAGTCACAATATGCCACAAATTTTTTAGAGCAGTCAGAGGGCATTAGAAGACCAAAACCTAAAGCATTCTTTATATATTTCACTACTCTTAAGGCAGCATTCATATGAGATTGTTTGGGACTATGCATGAATTGACTTAGCACTTGCACTACATATGCAATGTCAATTCTAGTCATAGTAATATATAACAACTTTCCTACTAGTCGTTGATATTGAGTAGGATCAACAAGTAGTGTATCTTCATTCGTAGAACCTGCTTCCTTATTATTAGTTATAAAATCATCATAGTCGACTGATGTAAGCTTCAAATTTGTTTCCAAAGGTGTGTTAACTGGTTTAGTGCCACTTAATCCCAACTCACTAATTAGTTCCAATGCATACTTCCTTTGGCTCATCACTATTCCCTTTTATGATCTAGCAAATTCAATTCCTAGAAAAAACTTTAATTCTCCAAGATCTTTCATTTTGAACTTTAGCTTTAAGTCATTTCTTGTTTGTAGAATCAAGTCTGTATTGCTTCTTGTTACCAACAAATCATCCACATATACTAAGACAATTACCAGCTCTCATTGAACTGTCTTGGTGAATAAAGAATAGTCAAAATGACTTTGTGAGAAGCCAAGTTGTACCAATGCATCTGTGAGTTTCTTGTTCCATTGCCTAGGTGCCTGTTTGAGTCCATAAAGAGACTTATGTAGTTTGCAGACAACATGCTTCCCCTCCTGGCTGGCAAAACCAGAAGGAACCTCTAAATACACCTCCTCCATTAAATCCACTTGAAGAAAAGCATTATGAACATCCATCTGAAAAATAGACCAATGATTAGCTGATGCTACAGCCACAACCGACCTGACAGTAACTATCTTAGCAACTGGAGCGAAAGTCTCTGTGTAATCCAACCCCTCTTGTTGGCTATAACCCTTTGTCACAAGTCCAGCCTTGTACCTTTCCACAGCTTCGGAGGATGTGTATTTAACCTTGAACACCCATTTACACCCAGTAGGTTTCTTTCCGACTGGTAATTCAACTAAACTCCAAGTGTGATTATCTTGTAATGCTTGAATCTCAAATTGAATAGCAGCAACCCAATTGGGGTCTTTAATAGTCTCAACATAGGAAGTAGGCTCTTTGATGGCAGATTAGGATGCCAAAGCAGCTTCAAACACAGGTGATAAATGAGCATAACTACCACATCAGATACTGGATAACAACAGTTGGAACTTCCTTTACCTGTGGAGACATAGTCATGCATCCAAATAGGATGCTTTGTAGGCCTGGAAGACTTTCTAACAACAGGTACTGTTGGAGGTCTAGAAGCAGAAGCATCAGCCACAGAAGGAACGTATGCAGTAGAAGAAGGAGCAGGAACACTGAAAGATAACTGACTAGTATCTTCTATATGTGAGGCATGAAGTTCATTATCCTTCAGGGAAAACAAATGAGAAGGAGAAGTGGGGATTGTCTTAAAAGGAAAAGAATTTTCCTGAAACAAGACATCCCTACTTGTCAAAAACACTTTGGACTCCAAATCATACATAGTATAACCTTTTTGAGATACTGAATAGCCAAGAAATACTGCAGGAATAACTCTTGGAGAAAATTTGTCCACCTTTCTAACCTGAGTCACATATCCCAAACAACCAAATACTTTCATGTGAGCTAGAGAAGGTGGGTGGCTATGAAGTTTCTCAAAAGGAGATTTATCTTGAATGATAGCGGAAGACAATCTATTAATTATGTATATAGCAGTGGTCACACAATAACCCCAAAACTTCAATGGTACACCAGCCTGAAATCTGATAGCTCTTGCTACTTCTAAAATGGGCCTATGTTTCCCTGATAGTTAGTGCGTATGTTAGAGTTGCCTTTGCCACTAAACAAAGTTGTCCCTTCAGCAATTTCGGAACTGTAAGAAGACGAACTCAGAGATCTTCGACTTTCCTCAGAGATGATCATAGCGTATGCCTTATTAATTGAAGGTGTAGGACGCATCATCATGATATGATTAATGGACTGTGAGTAAGACTCATTGAGACCAATAAGAAATTGAAGAAGATGTTGATACTCGAAGTGTTCCACATATTTCTTAGATTTAGCACAATTACATCCAGGACATGACATTAACGCATCAAACTCAGGGCATAGTTCTCTTAGTTTTGAGAAATAGGTCGAAACAGATGAAATTCCTTGAGTAAGAGTAGAGATCTGTTTATGAAGGAAGAAGACTCGAGATTCATTAACCTTATCAAATCTCTCATGGAGATCAGTCCACCCCTTACATGCACTAGTAGCATATACAATCCCGCTAAGTAATTCACTACATACATAATTTATAATCCATGAAAGGACTATAACATTACATTTCTCCCACAAATCATGGAGGGAGACATCAAATTTCTCCTTAGGAGTTAGGATATCGACCATCCACAAATCCTAATTTACTTTTACCTAACAGACTAATTCGCATTAAACTACTCCATAATGCATAATTCTCAGGGCCTATTAGTTTAATCAAAATTAGGGAACTACCTGGTATATCATTGGGCTGAAGAAACAAAGGATGATGTTGATCGATTGTTACCACAGTAGGCACAACTCCAGCTCCAATTTCCAGATCTGCAGATGAACTAGTATTCACCATTGTTGAGGATGCTGAATTTCTCAAATAGGGAAATTGAAATAGCAGTGAAACGAAGACGATGAGCTTGAATCAAATGACTATGAAACAAGTATATGCGAGACGAGAAACACAGAGAAGATCGTAGGAATATAAGACCGATTACGCAAGCTCTGATACCATGTGAAGTTCCTTGATCTTCACCATGTGAGAACCTTCAAGGTAATGAGAGAAGAGAACAGAACGAAATAAAATGTTTGAGTATTATTCAGCTACCCATCAAGTGATCTATACACATTGTATTTATACAATTTAGTAACAAACTCTAACTTTCTAATAGTATAACTAACTGAAAATACTAACAGAATACAATTAGCTAAAAATACTAATTATTGAAAATATCTTTTATTCAACAATATTATTATGATTGTTGGGTCTTAACTTTTAGACCAAGGATTGCAATTAACAAATATTTATCATTATTTTAAATTAAAAAATTTTAAAATAAAAACACATTTTATTAGAAAAAAAGAATTTTATCGATATGTAAAATGAAAATAATATGAAGTACTCTGATCTCGTATAATATGACCTATATCATCAATTAGAAAGTATATGAGTTATTCAATTTTAATTGATAAAATGATATTTAAAAGAAAAGAAAAAGATTACTTTCAACTTTTGTATTAGTCAAAGAGATACTAAAGACAGAGAAATAAGAATAGGATTCTGTAAAAACAATATGTTTAGAAAAAAGATATTGTAGACATAATTCAGTAATATTCTAAATTATTTAACATAATTTATGAATATGTTGAACCCTTTTCCATATAATTAAAATCTTTTATTTCTTTTAATATATATTATATAAAAATAAGTGATTCTTTCCCACTAACTTACGTGACTGCAACTCTTTATCTTTGATTATAATTTATAAGTTTAAGAATAATAATATCAAATATCATTTTATTTTTATTTTTTATATTTTTTTTTATTGTTATTTTTTATAACAGAGAAGCACCTCACGAACCTTTTATTTCAACGACCGCCTATTTGTTAACAAGCTTTTCATTGACATCTCATCCATTTCATGATCTTATATTTATATTTATATCAAGGTCTAATTAAAATTTAAATTTATTTAAAATTGAGACAATGTAGTTTTACTATTTATTTTAACTAAAAATTGTGTAATTTATCGGACTTAAAACTTCAAATTTATAAACTTTAAATTTTGATATTCCCTTTGACTCTTTAAAGTAATAGTAATTAAATTTTGACATTTCAAAATATCACTCACTTCATTTTAAATTAATTTCATTTTTGACGTATTTTTATTTTTTAAATTAAATTAATTGTTTAATTTTCAAGATTAATTTTAAAGTATTCTTTTAAATTTACCCTTCATTAATTTGTATTAGATTTAATAATTAATTAATATTTAGTTATTTTTATCATAAATTTTATAATAATTAATAAAGTTAAAAATGAGAAACTAAATTTAATTTATATCTTAATTTATTTATAAAAAAAATATAAAATACTTCAAAAATTAAGTTAATATGGACAGGGAGTACTAATAATATTATTATAATGAAATATACCTTTAATTTAATTATTAAACAAAGTGCTAATTTAAAAGGGACCAAATAATATAAAACGAAAAATATAATAGAGATAATTTCATACTCAAAATTCAAATTCAAATCCTTTAATTAATAGAATAAATAAATACTTATCAATTTCTTTTTTATATTTTTTATTGTTTCTCATTTGATGTTTCGAAATCACATTAAAATTTTAATTAAATTTAAATCGCGCACTATAGATTCTATTTAAGAGTGCTCTTTCAATGAAAATTTTATATTTAACGCTAAAACTCAAGAAATATCTGATTAAGAGTGAAACAGTTTCACCATTAATACTAGGCCTGATTGGTCATTTGTTAACAAGTTGCATATGTGACATTATTACTCCCCAATTTATTGTCGGTGCAAGAGCACTTATAATATGCGTGACTATATATTATTACACACTTTCTTCGTTCATTTACTTCCCTGTTCACATTCACACAATCATTCATCATCAATCAAATAGGAATAAGAAAAAAGGTAATTACCAAATATTTAAACCCTAATTCTCTATTTTTACATATTGAAACTCTTGTGTGTTTTTGGGGAAAATCACTTAGCTAAGCTATCTTTTTCTGATTTTTTTTTTGGGGGATTTTATGGTGTTTTTTTTTCTGTTTGCTTGTAAGACTTTGAATTATTTTGAATTTTCTTGTGTTAAAAATTTGTTGTGTATAGTAGTTTTGATTCTCTTCAATGAACAATTAAAGAAGCTTTTGTAACAGATTGTGTGAAGGTATTAGTTCTAGCTTATTTGAATCCTAAAAGCTTGATTTGATGATAACAGTAAAACTAGTGTCAATTTTTTTTATTTCTTATGAACTTAGTTTTGGGCGCACCTCGACTAATTGCATAAGATACAAACATATACCAAGTAATTTTGTTCAGTAAGACTACGACAGATGAGAGAAGAAATCACCTAGTGTTTTTTTGTCTATACTGGAATTTGGTTGACCACTAAGCCACACCCCGTGCACCCGGTTCACGGCTAAAGAGTATTGCTTCAAAATGTAACTTGGGAATGGTTGTAGAGTAGTTTTCAAGGGGGTCTGATGGAATTTGGTGGTTTTCTGTACAATAGAGGAACCAATACAAATGATTCTTTATAGTTGATTCGATCTAAATGATGTTTAGATGCACGTGAACTTCCGAAGCCAGTAATTACCGTGGCGGTTTGAGTTTTGTATGGTTGCTGTTACATTTTGTAATTTCTCGTATGGTTTTTCTTTGTGATATATTTATCAGTTCTATATATATGACGTTGACATATTTATTGGTCTTTGCATGTACTAGTTCTCCTTGTGTTTTGCTTCTTTGAGAATCACAACGTAATCCTTGATATTTATGTTTCGTTTTAATCATCTGGATTGACTCAGGGTATTTGTGGATCTAACGGGAAAGAAGTAACGATATGGGTCGTGGAGTTAGTAGTGGAGGAGGACAGAGTTCATTAGGATACTTGTTTGGGGATGGTGAGGCTCCAACGTCAACTAAAACGAACCCCCAGGCTGTTCAAAGTGAAGCTCAGCCGATAAATAAAGAGCCTGTTGCTGCTCCTTCTCCTCCTGCTGATGCTACTAAGCAGATTCCAGCAGGTATTCAAAGTATCAGGGCAGATGGTCAAAACACGGGAAACTTTATCACGGTATGTACTTATGCAAAATTATTATAATGTCCTCTGAAATGCTTGAAATATTCATTGCTATGCTTTGCTGGAGAGGTTTTCGTTGCTAAGCTAAGGTGAAATTAAGACATTTCCACAAGTCCCCACTTTCTAGTAATTAATAGCTTGTTCGGTCAATTTTTTGGGAAACTAGACGTGCTTAAAGAAAGTGCATATATCACATAGTTGAGGCGTTTAGCCAAAACTTCAAAGGTGGTGAGGATTTGTTAACAATGCCAGAACACGCTCTATTTTAGCAACTATATTTTTGTGGATATTATTAGTATCGTTGTGGAGTACAGAACCGATTCATTGATGTCCATCGCTGTTGTTTTCTTTTGTCTTGGAAGGAATGTATACAACCTCATATGATGTTGCGTTCTAATATTATTCATTTATGAACTTAAATTTTGTTATTTAACGTATTTATTTTAAGTTAATAATAAACTTAAATGCATTGTGTGTTGCATTTGAAGGCAAGAAATTGAGGGCACAGATTGTATGATTCATGCTGTTTGTTTTCTTGTGGAACTATTGAATATGGCTTTGTTTGTTTGTCCTCTTCCTACGACCGATCTGTGTCCATAGACCCATTTTAAATTTCCTTTCACGGACCAGCCAATTCTCCAATGTAGTTTCAGAAAGGGTAACCTGCTGGTACGTGTTGTATGTTAACCCAGCAGGTTACACTACTTTGACCCATTTTGGACCCAATATATTGAGGAGTCCGTTTGGGTTTAACCCTTCGAGTCAAAACATATGAATGGGCCATAACACAAACCATTTAAACATATGAATGTGGTTGACAATCTGATCCGTCAAAGTTATAGTGGATGGATAATTGGATTTACATCTTGCCACTTGTTGATTCCAACGATGAAATGAGGACAAGATAATCAAAATATACCATCTTTTGTGTTATGAGTTTGTTGAAACACATTTCGACCAAATGATACATTATCTATCGATAGAGGTCTGTGTGAATCTTGTGTCGTTGCTATTTGCTATGTTTTCGGCTTATGACACATTGATAAGCTGCAAGCGCATTCTATTGATGTAATAACAAAACCAAGGTTGTGTTTGGACTTGACCAATCCTCATCTCATGAGCTAGCTTCTGGGTTGAGTTAGACTCAAGTGTCGTATCTCTACGTTATGTTGGATTGGGATTTTAGTGATTGATAAGGAATCGTTGAGGATACAACTTCTTGTGTTAGAAAAACTAATTGCTTTCTCAACTCTCATCATTGAATTACAATGAAGTAATTCTTTGATAAGATAGACCTTGTTATGGAAAAGTTATGTGGTTTTAACTAGGGTTATTGGCTTGTTATAGGACCGGCCATCTACCAAAGTACATGCAGCCCCTGGTGGTGGATCTTCTCTAGGTTATCTCTTTGGGGGCGGCAGCAGCTGATAAAGAATGTCCAATCACCCATCGTCGTTTCATTATTTCTTATACCTTGTTTATCAACTATCATGTCAATGTAATTGTGTGTATTGCGAAAGAACGTTGCGTTGTTTTTTTTTAAGCCTAAGTATATGTGGTATACTTCAATTGCACAAACTTCTGTTCATATATTCGCAGTTGACAGCCATTATATTCTAAAGTTTACGCTCTTTGTTGCTATGTACATGGCTTTTGTTAATCGATTATTGGTCCAACGACATGTTGTTTCCTTGATATCGTACTCTTTAATTATATCATTGTTCGAGGGAAAATGTCTAGAACTAAATTCACTTCTGTTTCCTTTTTACTTGTCACATTTTGCTTTTTGAGAGTCTTGATTGAACATTTTAAGATATATTTTTCATTATATTAATATATTTCCGAAAACAATAGGGTCTTGCTTTTTGGGTACATAAGAAAAACAAGATGTTAAAATGTTATCTAAGCATATGTTGATGTTGATGTGAATGGATTAAACCTAGTCACTGGAACACAAACCAAAGGATTAGCTCTAGGAAGGGTAATGCCAGGTGCCTCTTCCATATCGACTTTACTTACCTCTCCACCACTAACCTTCCATTCGAAGCATTGTATCATCGAAGCAAGGCTTATTTGAACTACCTGTAATGCTAACGACGTTCCAGGACAACCTCTTCTCCCCGTACCAAATGGCAAAAAATGATAGTGTTGTCCCCTCACATCCAATTGGGATTTCGTGTTCCCCTCCTCTTCTTCAGTCAAAAATCTCTCAGGTATAAATTCAAGTGGATTTTCCCAATACTCGGGATCTCTGTTAATCGCCCATGTATTGACTATCAACCTAGTGTTCTTCGGTATGTGATAACCTCCAACGCAACAATCTTCCGTTGATTCTCTGAGGATCATAGGCCCCGTTGGGTGTAATCTGAGAGTTTCTTTGATGATAGCTTGAAGGTAAGGGAGATTCACGATATCAGATTCTTCCACAATTTGATTTTTACCTATTAAACCATCGATTTCTTCAACTGCTTTCTGCATAATGTTTGGATGGTTTATGAGTTCTGCTAGTGCCCACTCTACTGTGATAGCTGCAGTATCCGTCCCAGCAGCAAATATGTCCTGTATAATATAGAATTTTGTCTCTAATTTTAAATATTGCAAAAATCTATAGTTTTTAACTAGAGATTATACACAAGTACCCCTCAACCTATGCCCGAAATTTCAGAGGCACATTTATACTATACTAAGGTCCTATTATCCCATGAACTTATTTTATAAGTAATTTTCTACCCATTTTTGGCCTACGTGACACTAGCTTGATAAAAGAAAATCAACCAGCATTGGGCCCACAAAATAGTGTCACATAGGCCAAAAAGGGGTAGAAAATTATTAATAAAATAAGTTCAGGGGTAATAGGACCTTAGTATAGTATAAGTGTGTCTCTGAGATTTCAGACATAGTTGAGGGAGTACTTGGGCATTATTCCTTTTAACTATAACGTTTTCTCGTAAGATTTTTCACTTACCAGAATAAACGCTTTGATGTTCTCTCTTGTCAATTTCATCTCCGCGCAATCATCCTCAGATATATCAAGTAAAATATCAAGCAAATCTTTGATCACTATACTTTCACTATTTCTCTTACTTCTTGCTTCTTCATGTTCGTTGATAATCCTCTCCATTATTTCATCGAACCTTTTACGTACATCTTTAGTTCTTTTTCCAAACCCTTGCAAATCCAAGTTCTTACAAAACCAAATATAATCCGAAAGATTAAATTTCCCAGTAAGTTCTGTGATATCTTGAACCAACATCCTAACACTCCCGGCTTCATCTTTGTCCTCCGAGCATCTTTCGTTCATCAACATTCTAGAAATAACATTATTTGAAACCCTTAGTAGCTCAGCTTCAACATCTACCTCTTCACTAGACTCCGCCTTATGTAAGAGTAATTCAATGAAACGTTTTATTTCATCGCGTCTTACTGGTAAAAGCATGTCTAATGTCCGAGCTCCAAGGAGCTCGGACATGCATATTTTCTTCATGAACTTCCAGTAAACACCGTAAGGTGCAAATGAGAAGTCTTGTGAACCATAAGTTAAGTAATCAATCACTGATGTTTGTGGTCGATTTAGAAAGGAAGTTTCGTGTGTTTTGAGTACTTGTCTAGCCATTTCGGGTGATGAAACTACTAGACAAGGGACGGATCCAAGATTTATATGAATTAAAGGCCCATAACGAGTCGAGAGCTTGTGAAGTGCTTGGTGAGGAATAGGAGATAGGAGGTGTAAGTGACCGATGATCGGTAAACCAAATGGGCTTGGTGGAAGGTGACATGTGTTCCGTTTACGAAACACAACATATTTAAGAAATAAGGTAGAAAATAGCCAAATAAGGAATAATATCAAGTAGCCTTGAATATCCACCATATTCGACGCAGAGTTTTTTTTGATTGTTAAAAGTTATACAGTAAGACTTGAGCAATATTTGTGTTTAGGTGTGCACCTATTTATACAATGGAGAACTATATTGTATGATTTTTTTGAAACGGTCAACTAGAATATACATAGATTTAAGATTATAAAAATAAAAATAGACATCAAGGCCGGCATGATACATTTTTTAAAAAACATTATACAAAGTTAAAATGTATTAATGAGGACTCTGCGTAACGACACGCTACGTAATCACAAATGATCTTTAAAGATAATTAATTAACGATAATAATTTAATTTTGGCTGAATATATATTTTTAGCGACAATTTAACACTTTTTCAAAATGTCTTTAAAGCCTATAAACAACATTGAATTCAATGATGATCAACTATTATCGTCAATTAAAGGTTTTAACATTTTTATTAATATATATGTTTATTATCGATAAAAAATAATTTTACTATCGTAATATTGTCACATTGCATTGGCTAAGCTAGACCATGTCCTGTGAATTAGGACAAAATTAATGATTGCCGAATAATATTATAAGAATTATTTGTAAGAAAAAAAGTAGAAAAAAATATTAACTTGATCAAACGGCAGTCAAATAGGCAATTTGTTTCTTTTATCGAATACAAAAGATGTACTCAGAAATATTTTATTTTCATATGATATTAATTGGAATTAGCATTAGAAAAATGAGGTCAGTTTTATTAACTAATCAAATTTGTCCATATTTAAGTGGATTGAAAGAATAAATATTAATATTTGTAGATAAAATATGAGTGACCTAACTAACAATTTCTCTACATTTGATCATTCAAAATTTCGGATAGTTATCGAAAGATAAATAAACAATAAAGATAAATATGTCTTTTATTTTGAAAATATCCATCAACTTTATGTGTTCAATTACTTTAAGCAAAATTATATTTATTTATTTTTTACCTAAAATCAATATTTTTCAACTCAGAAATAAGTGATATAAGTGAAACATATACAGAAATTTTAGAACAGATAAATAAGCCCAAAAAATTAGAAATAAATACAGGAGATATGAGTCGACCCAGTAATCAAGAGTTAAAACTCCAGACAATAGTCCCAGAGATAGTCCTAGAACTAGTCCTAGATGGACACCACCAACATATTATACAGAAAATTATGAATAATCAGATAGAATGAATACAATATGGAATAGCAGATTAAATAAAAAAATGGACACCTAAACCAATAACTGAACAATATAATTTTTTTAGATCTAGATCGTGTTACAGATATAAAAAAACAATATTACTATGGATAAGAAATATATCTAAACAACTAATTGATAATAAAATAACAACTAGAGAAACGCCAAAATATATAGAAAGAACATTTATAGGAACAACAAAATTATCGATAAAAAATCTACCCCGTCTAGAAACACTTAGAAGTGATAAGAAAATGGATGGATCTCCATCAACAACCCTTTAAATATTTTAAGTTATTAAAATCTATCCTATCCTAATAAATATCTTTCATATTTTTTTATTCTTTTTTAACTTTTTCATTAGTTTCTTTTTCTCTCAAATTAAATTCAAACATATAATGGAGCTTTTGAATTAAACTTTTACTTTTTGTGATTTTCTATTAATATATTTTATGTTATTTTATTTTTTTTAACAATGATTTTAATATCTCACGTATTTATTCAAAATAAAATACTAGTCTAAAACTAGTGAGACCTCAATTTTTTAATCTGTACTTACAATGTTTTGCCTAATATTTTGATAATGAAAACTATTTTTAGGTTACAAAACAAAAATAATCTGATAGTAATAATATTATTAAGATTATTTCAAGTTAATAAGTTAGCCATGTGTATATAATACATTACCTTAGATTTTGTTCCATAAGGAACTTCATCAAATAATATGAGAAGTTAAGTAATTTAATTCAAGGTTTAAAATATTTTTTCTATTAAAAAAGAAACAATCTTTCTTCTTCTTCTTCTTCTTTTTAATAAATATTTTCCACTTTTTTTTCTCCTGGATTTGCAGATATTTTTTGAAGTAAAAATAAACTGATTAATCAATACTATAAAGAGGAACTTTCATATATAACCACGCGAAAATAGGTTAATTAATCTCCATAACTATAGTTTCATAATAACACTTTGTAGCTACATGTTATATGGAAGAGAGAGATGAGCGAGACTGGGTAGGAGAGAAGAGAGGCGAGAGAGGGAAAAGAATGGGACAAAGATGAATTGCATATGTATATCAGTTATATAGTTGTATATTATACATATGTATTTGTATATATGGCAAGAGAGAATGGAAGAGGGAGGAGAGAGACGCCCGATATTGGGAGAGGCGAGTGAGATTGGTAGAGAGGGGAGAGAGGCGAGCGAGAGAGGCCAGAGAGTGGAAGAGATGTAAATTGTATATGTATATCGGTTAGGCAATTGTATATGAAACATATGGATTTGTATACATGGCAAGCGAGATTGGGAGAGGGAGGAGAGAGGCGAGCGAGAGAGGGCGGGGAGTTGGAGAGAGTTGAATTGTATATGTATATCGTCAGCTCACATAATTAATGTATAATATTAGTTGTGAGTGGTTATATAACAAATTATAGCTGTGATGAGTAATTAAATTATATAAATTTGCTTAACCGCGTAATTTCCCCCTACATGAAACTTTTAGGCCTCAATTTATTGGGGGCTTAAAACAAAAGCCTTGCTAGTCTCCACTTTGAGTAATATTTGTATCAGAAAGTATATTATGATGTAACCATACGTATAAAACGATTTAGAATTTGAG